GAATGCAAAGAAAGAGGTGAAATTGAAAAGCAACTAACCAAAAAAGTGCAAACAACAGATGCCCACTACTCTCTCTCTCTCTCTCTCTCTCTCTCTCTCTCTCTCTCTCTCTCTCTCTCTCTCTCTCTCTCTCTCTCTCTGTGTGTGTGTGTGTGTGTGCATGTCATGAATGTCCACTTCTCTCTCTCATATTCTCTCACGTGTGCATGCTCTCTCTCTCTCTCTCTCTCTCTCTCTCTCTCTCTCTCTCTCTCTCTGTGTCTGTGTGTGTGTGGCATCAATGTGCTCATCTCTCTCTCACATTCTCTCATGCGTGCATTTGCTCATCCCTCTCTCTCCTTCTCCCTCTCCCTCTCTCTCTTTCACACACACACTCTCCCTCCCTCCCTCCCTCCCTCCCTCCCTCCCTCCCCCGCGAGTCCCAAGAGTTGTCCTACTGTATGGCCCAGAAGATATTATCGGAGACGTTGGAACCGACAAACCACACTGATTGCCAAGGGGTTCCCAGGAGATATCCTCGGGTATCGCCGAGGAAAGAATCTCGACATCAGATATTATCAGAGACGTCAGAACCCACAAATATTTGCCCTAGTCCAAAGCTGTACAAGCGGTAATTGCTGCCCTTTCAAGTATGAAATTTGATGACTAAGGTATTGATTGGATAGGAATAGGAGTCAAAATGGGAATCGGGAAGCACCTGTATCGGCCATTCGTCCATATTTGCATCATATCTCCGAGGTTAACAATGTATGCCCTACATAGCACAAACACAAGGACACAAACCACCACCAAGACGGGCACATGTCAAATGTCAGGCCAACCTTTTTTTTTTTTTTTGAACAGGCCCTTGTACAAGGCCTCTATCCTGGTGGTGGTAAGAGACTGGGATTGAGGCTTTGCCTGGCGGGCCGCTCCGTCTATTGGTGGGGAGCATCACCTGCTGGGAACCGGGCCCAGCGTCCCATGAATACATCTGATCAAAACAGTACATCATTGAGGGTGACACCATTGGGATGGAAACCGGGTCCAGCGTCCCATATCTAACCTGTTTCTTCATACCTAGCCTGCAGCACCGTCCGGTACTGGGGGGAGACCCACCAGGGGGCACCAGTGGAATCTCCCTCCCTCCCCCAGGTCCTGCCCTCCTCCTACTATCCTCATGGCGTCCAGCGTCCCATATACAGAAATTTCACAGAAAAATAGAATGTCGAAAATAGAGTGTCTGAGTAGCAATGAAGATTGTGGGGCCTGTCAGTATTGATTATCTAACAACGCAGGGGGTTGACTGAGCATGCCAAAAAGAGCTTAAGCAAGGGGCCAAGAAGCTCAGGGAAAACAGTCTGACAAGACGGTGCTGGAAACCGGGTCCAGCGTCCCATGTCCGGATTATAACATCCCTGCCTACCCTTTTTTTTGCAGACAATCTCTTTTTTTGGGAGCAGCACCTGCTGGAAACCGGGTCCAGCGTCCCTTACATGAAAAAATTGCTGCAACCTTTTTGCTGCACTGTTTGTCCCATCAGCTCAAACCTCAAACATCCTTCAGTATCTTATTGCCTCAAAAATGGTTCTGAAAATTCTTCTCTCGTTGCTCGAAATCGGGTCCAGCGTCCCTTTTCTACTCCGATCTCATCAAGATGACCACAGCCCATTCTGTTAAAATGCAACCCCCCAAAAACCAGCATCCAAAACAGAGCCTCAAGGCGTAGTTATTTCTACTAGGGATAAAGGGTGTGGGGGGAAGGGGTCCGGGAAMTCGGAAGCTGGCCTCATTGGGAAGTTCGGGTCGATGTCAGTCCATTCTTTAAATTTTAGGCAGTAATCCCTTCTTACCATCTCTCCCTCCCCCTGAGGGCCTTCGTTCGCGTCCCCTGAACATTTCACCTGCGCAATCCAGCCTTCCCTTTCCCCGCCCAACCATTCTTGGCAGAATTTAGTGATGCTTTCTTTAATATCTTTTGGTTGCTGAAGGAGGTCTAGTTTGTGTTTTACTGTTTGCCATCTATCAGTTATGTCCAACTGGAGATGGTTTTTGATATGCTCGCGCACCTCCTCCCCCTCCAATTGTACTTCTTCCATTGTCATAACACATCTTTGCCACCACAGCGTCCATAAGATTGTTCGTCTCCCCAGGTCAAACATATTATTCGCAAACTCCTCTTCGGGCCGTCCTGGCCAAAAGCCTGTTAGGATGGCCCGCCAGTCCCATGGCCAGAGGGATCCAGGGACTATGTGCTGCCAGACCAGGTCCCACCAGCGCCAGGTGAGGGCTGCATTCAGGCACTGTAGAAAGATGTGCTCAATGGTTTCGGCTGCTTTTTTGGCCGGGTACCCTCGGAGGCATCTGCTGCACCAGGGGAGAGCGCGGCCCTGTTGTTCCAGCCTGGTGTGGTCAATCAGCCAATTATTGGTAGGTAGGCACCTATGGGCTATCTGCAATTGCAGGGAGGTGATTTTGGTCGGCCTCCTCTTGCTTTCCTGGAACCATCTGATTGGAGCTAGCAGATGTCTGTCAACGTTTAGGTGTCTGTACCAACGCTCATTCACTGTGTCTTTTAGATTCCATCTTGGCCTGATCATCCTGTATGTGGTTTTAACAGAGAGGTTTTCAAGTGCTGTGTCTCTGTGGATACCTCCTCGTGTCGGGCTAGTCGGTTTCCATCTCCACTCAATTGGGTTCAGGCCCAGTTCTGTGATCGGGGTTCCAGGTTTATATACCGAGCGGTTTTCACCTTCCCCCATCTCTCTAATCCGGTCAACTTCTTCCTTGTCTGTCCAGACAAAGGGGGCTGTGCTGCCGATTAGTCTATTCCCCTTCGTAATAGTATAAAACTCGATCAGTACCTCTGTGGGACTGACCAGGTGGACCATCCCGGCCCTACCAAGGTCTCCTTTCTGCATCACCCAGTCTCCTTCCTTGTAAACCGGGCCCGTTCTTAAAATATTATACCATTGGAGAGGAAGAGTTTCTATTATTCCGTCCAGAGCCTCTTGCACATGATGGCAATAGCGCAGTTTTTCCTTCATTTGTTCTAGATTCCTCCATGTTCTCGTTCTGACGTCCCATAGGTCCCCCACCTTCCATATCCCATGTTTGATCCATCCATTCCATGGAGGGACGGAGTTGCACCTTACTTGCCCGTGGGAGTCCGTGATGCGCCGGTTGCCAAAGAGGGGTTGTCGGTATACTTCGTCCCATCTCTCTGGTTCCAGACGGTCTGGGGGGGGGAGCTTCCGCCATATTTTGATCATACATGGCCAAAATTCTTCTTTTAAAGGACCCTCCCTTTGATCTCCTCTCCCTCTACGGGGGAGTTTCCAATACCTGTCGTCTAGCCACAGAAGCGGGTCCACCCCTGCCGATGCTTCTGGTGCGAGTCTGGCAATCTGTTCCATGGCTAACGGGTGCCAGGGTTGGGCAGTTCCCAGGATGAGGTTTTTAATCCATTGTGTGCTGAGGGCCTGGGTTTGGAGAGTTGGGTCAATAATCCCCAGGCCACCTTTAGCCTTGGGTTGGATTACTGCGTCCCACGCCACCCTGCTGACAGCGTGCTCGCATCCACTATCTCCTCTCCACAAAAAGGCTGCTGCCTGCTTCTTGAACGCCTTCAAGGCTGCCGCACTTAACGGCCAGATAAGTGATTTGTACCAAAGAGACGCCAAGACAACATTATTGATGACTAATGCCCTCCCAAAAATCGAGGTTGGCTTCTGATTCCATTCCTTCATCTTGTCTTGAGCGGGTGACTGGACCCATTCGTCATTCGTGGTTGGCTTTCCGTTTGTTGTCATTTGGACGCCCAACACTCTCACTGTGGCTTCCAAGGGGAGCCATTTAATGCGGGGAGCTTCAGGCGGGTGCCCCCCTTGATGGTGCATCCACCACCCCACAGTTTTGGTCCCCCAGTTGACAGCCATGTCTGACAGTTTGCAGAATCGATCCATCATCCTCTGTATCTCTTCCATGTTACCCTCCCAGGCATCGGTTATTATTGTGAGGTCGTCGGCGAAGAGGGAGCATACCGGAATGGCTTCCTCTGGGATATTTGCAATCTTGATTTTCCTGATGTCCTTGTTATGCCGTAAATTGACCGACAGTGCTTCCATAACTATAACAAAAAGGAAGGGGGTGATGGGGTCCCCTTGTCTGACCGAGCGCTGCAGCGTAATTGCTGGTGCTAAATTCCCATTTATTTGCACACATGTCGTTTCATTATGGTGGAGGATATGAACCCATCTTCTCAAATTGGGCCCAAAATTCATTTTCTGGAGGCATGCATCCAGGAAGGTCCAGTCCACATGGTCATAGGCCTTCTCGAAGTCAATAAAGATGAAGGCCGCGTTCTGTTTGGATTCCTGAGTCAGATGGATCATCTCATTGACTAGGAGTATGTTTTCCTGGATGTTTCTGGATCTTATAAATCCTGATTGGGCCGGGTGGATAATATCCTCCATTACCTCAAGCAATCGATTTGCGAGGGCGTCAACAAGCATTTTGTAGACTACCGTTAGCAAGGTGATGGGTCAGTAGTTTCTGATATTCATTTTATCTCCTTTTTTGTATAAGAGGGACAACACCCCCTGACCCACACATTCCCTCATCTGTCCTGTTCTCCATACCGCCTCGTAGTAACTCATCAGGTCCTGGTGTAGGGTCGGCCACATGGTTTCCCAAAATTCTTTAGGGAAACCATCCATCCCTGGAGTTTTGACCTCATCCATCTGAAGGAGGGCCGTCCATATCTCATCTTTCTTAATAGGTTGTTCAATTTTTTCTTTCTGCTGAGGGCTAAGTCTTTTATCCAATGGGCCGAGAAACTCCTCCAGCTCCCTCCGGTGTCCTTCGTCAAGAGGGTTAGTTATTTGCGAGGAGAAGAGTTGCTTAAAGAAGGTTCGCGCAATACTTGTGCAGTGTGCCGTGGTGGTGGCCATCTCATGGTCATTATTAGGGTTAAGAAAGGCCTCAACAGTGTTACGATGTGCTCTTGCTTTCGCTATGCCGAAAAAACGTGTGTCCATGGTTCCTTCGGATGTCCATTTGGTGAGTTTCCCTCTAATTTTGGCACCTTGCCACCTCTATTGAGCGTGCTGCAGCAATCGCTCCCGCAACTCTTGAATGGTATTACTAGGTTCATCCGAAGTCCCTTGGCTTTCCAAGGTGTGAAGTTGTTTATGAAGTTTCATTTCCTGAAGGTTACGTCTTCTTGCGTTCAACTTAGAGAATTCATTGCATTTTCGTCCTAAGAAGAATAAACCGTTATTGAACCACTGTATTTCGGAGTCGAATTGATGTCGGAAGGATCGCCATTGTTCCCATGCTTCGTTTATCATTTCCTGATATTCTGGTAATTTTAGAAGGGAGGTATTCATTTTGTAGAATCCCGGTCCTTGACCTGGTCTTTTCCTAAAGGATAATAAGGCCCCGCACGTTTTGTGGTCCAGTCCCGGGTGCGGGCTCTTTGGGAGAATTACTGCTATTTGTAGTGACCTTTTTATGTCTTTGGACATCCAAATAAGATCAATACGGGATTTAGATTGCCGTGCGGGATCCGCTGTGCGGATGCAGGTAAAAGTCCGCTCTGTTGGGTGGATACACCTATATGTGTCAAACAGATTGAGAGAGGCGAAGAGGTCCCGAAGCATGTATTCGTCCTCTTCTGTGTAATGGGGGGGGGGGTAAGTGTGCTCCATCTGTCCTGCCACCTATCTGGGGCAGCATTAAAATCCCCGGCTATGATTAGGGGTATGCCCACCG